CTATTCCACTGCTGGGGATCTTCCCCAAAGAATTAAAGGAATCACCACAGTGATATATGTGCACCCATGTTCATAGCAGCACAATTTGTAATAGCTAAAACTTGAAAACAGCCAAATGCCCATCAACTGGAGACTGGATAAAGAAAATATGGGGTTTTTTTATAAAATGGTTTTATAATTTCTCGTAAAAAATGATAAATTAGAGACATTTATAGCTAAATGGATGCACATTGAGGACATACTCTTAAGTGAAATAAGTAGGACACACATGTGTAAATACTAAATAGTTTCTCTAGTGTGGGAAACTGAATGTGTAAATAAGGACTAAAAGGTATATTAGATAATGTGAAATAGGAAGAAAAGGGGCAAAGCAGAAGGGGAATTGGGAGGGGTACGGGAAAGGAAGGAAGGGAATGGAATTAATATGAGAAAATGGATAAATGGGAACAAAGTGTTTATAAATAGGGAGGGATGGAGGGGTTGAAGGGACGGCAGGGGAAGCAGAAAAATAAGAACCAGGAGAGATTATATAAAGGTACAAATTTCCAATGATGAATGTCATTATATTGTATACCTAAAATGCACCAATGTTTAGAATGAATAATCGATAATGCGAAATAGGAAGAAAAGGTCCAAAGGGGTAGGGGTAGTGGGAGGGGCAGGGGAAAGGAAAGAAGAGAAAGGAAAAACGATGAGAAATGGAAAAAATGGAAATAAAGTCTTTGTAAATAGGGAAGGGTTGAGGGGGTGAAGGGAGGGCTAGGAAAAAAATAAAAATAAAAATCAATTTTAAAAAAATTTAAAAAAAGAATGTTCGGCCCAGGTCTCTCTGACTTTACTCACTTGGCCTTAGATGACTCAGACTCTCCCTAAGTTTCCGCTATTACCATTAAGCTGAGGACTCTCTTCTGAAATTCAGAACCAGACACCTAATTTTCTCTGGCATATTTCTACTTCAACATCACCTACACCTTAAATGCAACTCATCCTAAATACTCCCACCAGCCTCCTCTGCCTGTCTTCCTTCATCTTTTAATCTGGTTTGTGCTTCCCAAGCCAGGAAATAGGATAAATCCTCAGTTCCCTTCTACCTTTTATTTTATATCCTTAGTATTCAGTGAATCACCATATAACATCCTTCTTCTCTTCAAAGTTTCTCATCATTTCTTGTTCTGTAACCCCTTCAATCTTTTCATAGGGTAGAGAGCAATTGGCTTTTATACTTCTGGTCTTTATTCCTCCTATCCATTATTCTTACCACTGAACAATCTTTCTAAAATTTTTAGTCATCTGCTTAAAGTCCTCCATTTTCCTGATTACCTACCAGGTTAACATTGTTATGCAAGACCCTTTTCTACTGGCCACTGCCTGTTTATGAAAAGGTGTTTCTTGATATTTCCTCATCAGGCCATATACAATTCCTGTACCTCTTCATATCACCATTTGTTTGTATGTGTTCTTATCTTGTCCCCTGGAGGGACCTGATTCTGCTGTAGAAAATTCCGAATTCAAAGAAATCTTTCATATTCCCTGGATGCCTCCTAGACTCCTCCAGGCTGACTATGACCAGTTCCCAGCATCATTTCCCATTCAAAGCCATGTTTACTGCTATCCTATCTCCCTGCTAACCTGATATATAAAGAATTTCCATGGGAGAGTTATGCAGCTTCCAACTTCAACACTGGAAAAGACCTGGTGAAAACAAGCTTTCATTTATTTAGCAATCACTGGCTACCACAAGTGTAA